TCCACGTTTTCCGTTTTCCACCTCTCGATTTCTATAACTTAGGCCGGGAAATGCAAAAAAACTTGATCGGATCACCATTCACGTTTCTTACCTACGATTTTGGGCATCGGGAATCGTTTTTACGTGTAACAGAAGCACGCCTCTTAGTCGAGACCAGTCTGCAATTCGCAATAAACGGTGGAAATGACTACTGTCTCTGATGCAGCTAATAAACCACACTAAAATCACTTTAATTCTGTTTTATTGCCGACCTTAAATTCAGGTAAATTCGTAAATAACATAATGCAAGGAATGCATTTCATTTCCGTCCGCCCAGCGATCGAAGATGGAACAGCCAGACTCACCCCCGTCCGGCTGTCCTGTCGAAGTACGAGTGTAAACTATCGTGTTCTACACCAAATGCTTACCATCGAAGTGACTAGCAACAGAAGCACCAGCTCAAAAAGTGGGTCTAACCTTGCAGTCAATTTGTTATAGTGTGCTGTTATGTATAATTTCCATCTGATCAGGCGGGTGTCACGCCTCATACAGTTCAATGTAACTTGAAAAGTAGATCTCACCATGCACTCAATTTATTTTCATAGTGTACTACATGTATGTAGTATAATTTCCATCTGAACTGGCGGGTGTCACGCCTAATACAGTTCGATGTAACTTGTAAAGTAGATCTAACCATGCAGTTACGTGTAATTTATTTCCATAGAGTACTATGTAGCATAATTTCCATCTGAACTGGTGGGGTGGCACACCTCATACAGTTCGATGTAACTTGAAAAAGTACAGGGTGTTTCAAAAGTTCGTTCCGATTTTTTATTCGCTTAAATTTTACTAATTATCAAGAAAACCTTCTGTAAAACTTACTACGTTATTCATTATTCATTAAACATTGAATAACTAAAATATTAGTAACAAGAATGTCTTCCTGTATGTTTTCTGACATTTTCTAAGCGGTGAGGTGTAGAATTTACGAGCTCCCATAGCGTGTCCAAAGTCACATTCTTCCAGGCGAAGCGTAGTCACTATCTTAGCTCGTCCAGTTTTTTGGTAGGCGCTTTTAGGGGAGCTCGTTTTTCGGGAAAAACGAGCTCCCCTAAAAACGCCTGCGTGCATGGGAGGCTAGTGTTTTGGGGGCTGGATCTTTGTATGTTGTCTCGTCTACGATAATCCAGATGGTCTCTAGGGGGTTCACATCACATGAGTTTGCCGGCCGCTCCTCCTTTGGTATAAAGTTGGCAAAGCCTTCTGAGCCATGCCTGCATGAAGTGCACACCGCCTTCTTCTCTTCCAGGTTTTCCAACTTTTTTTGGTAACTTATCCCGATACCGTTGTGCCCGAAACTTTGATCGATAATGTGAAGTTGAAATTTTTTTACTTTTCTGCTTGGGGAATTATCACGCGTATACTTACAGATTTTTCTATAATATTTCTCACACAGTGTGTGAAAAGACGGCCATCTACTCCTTGGTTTGTCTTCTAAGGTCTTTACTTTTGACCACTTGTTCGGTTATCGTTCAGACTTCTCAAACAATTTGACAATTGTTTTTGACTGAATAGCCAGAAGTCCACAAAAATAGATGCATAAGCTCTAGCACAAACAGTGTAGGCCTTCGTTTTCGTGAAGGAGTAGAGAAATTAAATAAAAGAAAACGATAAAAATACCAAAATAGAAAACCTACAATTGAGCAGGAAAAGTATGGCTGGAAAAACCTCGCGTACGTGCACAGTTGGAGGAAAAATTTAAAAAAAATTATATTTTCTTCAAATTTTAGTTTGAAATTGTTTTGAACTGTAGTTTAGAGAAATTTCTTACCTGAATCAGCTTACATTTGTCTAAAGAAGCATTAAATCCGTTGCGCAAAATACAATTTACAATCGGAACGAACTTTTGAAACACCCTCAAGATCTAACCATGCAGGTAATTTATTCATGTTATAGTGTACTATGTGGTATAATTTCCATATGAACTGGTGGGTGGCGCACCTCATACAGTTCGATGTAACTTGTAAAGTAGATCTAACCAAATGCAGTTAATTTATTTGTTATAGTGTACTATGTAGTATAATTTCCATATGAACTGGTGGGTGGTGCATCTCATACAGTTCGATGTAACTTGTAAAGTAGATCCAACCAAATGCAGTTAATTTATTTGTCATAGTGTACTATGTAGAATAATTTCCATCTGAACTGGTGGGTGGCGCACCTCATACATTTCGATGTAACTTGTAAAGTAGATCTAACAATGCATGCAGTTAATTTATTTTCATAGAGTACTGTGTAGTATAATTTCCATCTGAACTGGCAGGTGGCACGCCTCATACAGTTGGATGTAACTTGTAAAGTAGATCTAACCATGCACTTAATTTATTTTCATAGTGTACTACATGTATGTAGTATAATTTCCATCTGAACTGGCAGGTGGCACGCCTCATACAGTTCGATGTAACTTGTAAAGTAGATCTAACCATGCAGTTAATTTATTTTCATAGAGTACTATGTAGAATAATTTCCATCTGAACTAGCAGGTGGCACGCCTCATACAGTTCGATGTAACTTGTAAAGTAGATCTAACCATGCAGTTAATTTATTGGTTATAGTGTACTATTAAGCATAATTTCCATCTGAACTGGCGGGTGGCGCACCTCATACATTTCGGTGTAACTTGTAAAGTAGATCTAACCTGGCGGATGCAGTTAATTTATTTGTTATAGTGTACTATGTAGAATAATTTCCATCTGAACTGGCAGGTGGCACGCCTCATACAGTTCAATGTAACTTGTAAAGTAGATCTAACCATGCAGTTAATTTATTGGTTATAGCTAGTGTACTATGTAGTATAATTTCCATCAGAACTGGCGGATGGCGCACCTCATACATTTCGGTGTAACTTGTTTAGTAGATCTAACAATGCAGTTAATTTATTTTCATAGTGTACTATGTAGTATAATTTCCATATGAACTGGTGGGTGGCACACCTCATACAGTTCGGTGTAACTTGTAAAGTAGATCTAACCATGCAGTTACTTTATTTTCGTAGAGTACTATGTAGAAAAATTTCCATATGAACTGGTAGGTGGCGCACCTCATACATTTCGATGTAACTTGTAAAGTAGATCTATAACCATGCAGTTAATTTATTTGTTATAGTGTACTATGTAGTATAGTTCCCATCTGAACTGGCGGGTGGCACACCTCATGCATACAGTTCGATGTAACTTGAAAAGTAGATCTCACCATGCAGTTAATTTATTTGTTATAGCGTACTATGTAGTATAATTTCCATCTGAACTGGCGGGTGGCGCACCTCATACAGTTCGATGTAACTTGTGAAGTAGATCTAACCATGCAGTTAATTTATTGGTTATAGTGTACTATTAAGCATAATTTCCATCTGAACTGGCGGGTGGCGCACCTCATACAGTTCGATGTAACTTGTAAAGTAGATCTAACCTGGCGGATGCAGTTAATTTATTTGTTATAGTGTACTATGTAGTATAATTTCCATCTGAACTGGCGGGTGGCGCACCTCATACAGTTCGATGTAACTTGAAAAGTAGATTTAACCATGCAGTTAATTTGCTATAGTGTACTATGTAGTATTGTCTTTCTGGCTCTCTTAGTTGTGAATAAATAATTAATCAAAACTCTTGATTGGTTATTTTCTCAAAAAGATGCATGTGTTTTGTGCAGGGTCAATGCCTGAAAAGGCAAACAAAAACATGAAACAAAGAAACTTGTTGAGTTTCAGAACTTTGGTCTAAGGTAGAAGCAAACAGATAACAATCATATTGTCTAATTTTGTCAAGTTGTAGCAGAGCTATTTGACGTTGAATTTCGACTTCAAATTTTATTGAGTACCACTAACATTGAACTACACACAATTTCATGAAAATTTAAAGTCAAGAGGATGTGAAAAATCAGCATATGCTTAAGTTGCATTTATGGAAGATTTACTCTGTGAACCTTTCATAATGTTATAACATCTGTTCTTTTCCACGTTGTTCTATATATGCAGGTTTTGCCTACTGAAGAAGAGCTACCTGGGTTGAAGCAAGATTCTCCTCCATTTATCCTCATAGCGGGTGAACTCCCGAATTATGATGACATTTTTATCGTTGCAAAAGGCGAACGAATACTAAACGTTTCCGGAGGCCACCTCGTTGCTTTTAAATGTTTAGTTTGTTTTTATTATACTCAAGCCTGCACAAATACATACATTTTCTTGCCGAAACACGCTCTCCAAATCTTCGATTCACACAAAATTCCTGTCAATGAGACAGAACTTGGTTCTACCTTCTGCGATTGTCTGCGATCACGATCGCAGGATCGCAGATGATCGCAGAAGTGTGTTTCCATATGATCAAAGACGATCGTAGAACTTTCTGCGATCGTCTGCGATCATATGGAAACCAGCCTTAATGGACCTAGGCTAAGCTATAGTAATGTGAATCTAGAGTTGTGCGTTTTTTACTTAAGTAAGCGATTGCAATTTTACGCTTGAGTTTATGTTACCCATTGATGAAGCGTCATGTGTAATTTTATCCTTCCTTTCTGATATTATTACCCTTGCAAGATGTGTAATTTTACAAGTGCAAAGTTGTATAACACCCATTTTACACCACTTTGCTTGTAAATATACCATTCTTTTGAGAGTTAAACTACACTTTAGAAGTTGGTGTAATAATACACACAAAAAAACGGATAGCGGGGCTGAGTGGCAACAATTTTACACCATTTTTTAAGTGTAGTCTGACACTTTAATTTTTAGTGTGGGTAATATGTAAACCCGAATTTGGTAAAAATTCAATTTGTTTTGGAGAAAGATCATTCATTCATATCACAGTGCTAAGGTAACACTTACTGTGTGTTTTTAAAAAAGTATGGTAATCGAAATTAGTATTCAAAGCACACTTGACGGTGTGAAGACACAGCATCCTTTAGTGCTAACAAAAGCAAAAGTGGTGTTGGCAGGGCTGCAAAACTTTTATGCTATCATCTTTTTTTTAGCGTTTCTTGCACCATGTGGCAAAATGTTTGCAGTTGTAGGTTATCAAATCGTAGGAGCTTTCTCCAAGCTTAGAAACAGCTCTTGCCAAAACTTCATTGGCAGAATGGCAGTCCTTTTCGTCGTAGATGACTTTGTACACTGGATCGACAAAGTCTATCCATTCTTGTTTTACGCCGTCATGAAAAGTGTTGTGTATAACATTGACTTTGGATATTCCGTCGTGCCATAAAACGATGCAATGATGCCTTGGATGAGCAAAGTGGCGGTACGAAACTATGTGGTCTCCAGTTTGTAACTTTGTGATGTCTTTTACTGCTTTGTCATCTGTCTTTATGAACTTCGTTATTGCTCGACCAATTTTGGGTCCAAGCCAGGAACCGACAAGTTTTCCACACATTCCACCAATTATCCCCACAAAGATGCCAGCTGGTCCAGCCACCAAACCACCAGCTGCCGCCAGTCCACTAACAAGTATCGCATCGGTGACTCGTTTTGTGACTTCCTCAATGAAAACTTTTCTTGTTAGATTGCCATCTTTTCTTTCTCTGTACAACTTTTTGATGTCGATAATTGTTATTACACCTTCGATGGCAACCACAAGACCAAAACCAATCCATTGGAGGTTGTTAGCTACTTTCTCTACTGCTTCTGCGGTACTCACCTTAACAGTTTGTGGAAGGAGGGACGCCTTTAGGAGTTGCAATGATTTCCCGGCAAGTGAACCGAGAGCTTTTTTTAATTGATCAACCATCCATTTCCGTAGCCAGCGAACCTGTTGACTTCTTTCCACTCCCTTTTTACAGAATGCCGCAAACGATTCGCAGTTATCTCTAAAGAGGTCGTAGCCTTTGTCACCGAGTCGTGAACGAGCCCTGGCTAAAACAAGGCGGGGCGGATTCTCCTTTATTACTTCTTCACTGTAATCCATACGGTAGAGATTCCCACGTTCCTTTTTCAAGTCAATCAGCTCCTCTGTAATTTGCGCCCTCTCTCCCTTTTGACTACTCCAGTGAATCACTCGAACTTTATTTCTTTCAGTGTCTACAGCTGTGACCAGTGCGTGATGCCATATCACGTATGGCCTTTTCCAAGCGATGTGGTCCCCAGGTTTGAGGTAATCTGCACACAGGCTTAGATTGGTTATCTCTGTTCTGGCTGGATGCACCATGTAAACACTGCTATCCGTCGTGTCAATAGCTACCGTCTTCTTGTAAAAATTTTCCTTCCCGAGGTAAAGGCAGTTCTCTTTACTGGGTGATACGAGTAAAGCTTCTTTCAAGTATTCACATTCACACTTTACACAAAACGCTCCCAGGAGCTCATCACCGTCATAGTAACGCCGAAATTTTGATGCATCGCTGTTGTCACACTGAATGCATTTGGCCCCGTTAGCAAGATGGACAAATCCTTCCATATATGCCATTGCACTTGCCGTACAGTTGTTGCTTAGACACAATAGGATCTAAGTTAAAAAATGAGAGTAAGCCATCAATAGTTTGCTGCCGCTACAGCTGTGATCATCGCTTTTGTAACAAAGACCACTAAATAATTTTATTTTCACAAAATATGACCATAAAGGAGAGCCTTGCTGTGTCTATCGATAAAATTAATATGGTTTGAAAAGGACTCGTTTAAAGGGGCTATGTCACACAATTTTAGACAATGTCATGACACATCAGATGCTCATAAAATAAACTAAAACATCACGATAACCACTTACAAGTGTAGAACAACATAAAAAAAACTACAACAAAGCTAAAGAATTGAAGTGTTATCAGCTTTTATTAAGAACTGAATTACTGATATCAGATTTCCAGCATTTTCATTGGCTCGCCGGACTCAGGCTATCAGTTCATATACCTGCCGTACCTAATATGGTCAAGGAACGCGTCATCAATAAAGCAAGCTGAAAACATTTTTGCAGCTCTGAGAAGTAAAAATAAAATAGAATAAAATAAACATGGAAGAGTTGTTTATCCTGGAGTTTTTAATAAAACAATTATTCTACTCGGGCTTGCTGGATTTAAAATGATTATAACCAACTCGGTGCGTTGTCACTTCATATCCAGCGCGCCCTCGTAGAATAATTGTTAAATATACCTTACGACCTTATCTGGAAACTGATTGCGCCAAGTAATTGCTAGCTGACATGAAACAATTATTCCATTCGTGATTGTTGGATATGAGGTTGGTTATAGCCGATTCGACGCCTCGTTGGCTATTTACCATCTCATATCCAACACGCTCTCGTGGAATAATTATTAAATATCCTGGCATGGGGAAATTCCCCTCTTCCTCTTTCGCTTTCGGATCGAACGAAAACGTCAATACTAGGAGGATAAACACCCTATCAAGTGACATGGGAAATTTCCCTTAAAATGTTCTCTTGCTTTCGGTCCACTGAATACAGTTTATGCTTGTCGATAAAGTATTTAAAAAAAATTAAATATCAGGGATTTGAAAAGGACACATTTGACTGAGGCCATTTTGATAAAGAAGTAGTGTTATAGTAATAGTGATTGTAATAGTTTATTGATATCCCTCTCGCAGCCCAAAGGCTGAATTACAAGGACGGTCAGTGAGAATAACAGAAGAAAATACAATACAAAGACAATCAAATAGATAATTATGCAAATATGATTAAAAGCACTACATAACAGAGAAAAAATAACAGAGCACAGGATTAAAACAGGTCTTGAAACTTAATGGTGCAGAAATCCGCGAACCGCTTTGTCTTGGGGACAAGGCGCACCGGAACACGTTCGCCTGAACGGAGGCAGTATGGCCTGTCAATTGACACACAAGGAATAATGGCTTGAGTACCGGAGACGGCAGGCAGTCACACTTGATAAAATTTGTGCAAGCTTCCTCCCTTCTCTGGGAAAGGGCAGTGATGCCAGACTGAATTAGGGCGTCGTCATAGTGACAATGAGGCAAAACGATGCGTAGGGCCCTTTTTTGTACAGATTCTATAGTGTCCTCTAAATACTTTGGCTGGGCAGCCCAAACTGGGCTAACAGAACCCCCAACGGTAAGGGGGACAGGGGGGGGAATGGGCTATACTGCATAAAGTTAATGATCATTTATTTACATTTCTTTGAATTAAGTTTCATGCCTCTAAAGGAAGCATATGCATAGATATCGGATACTGTTAAAGGTAGGTAAGACGGCGATCACCTAGGGATGATTTCCATGGCAGTAGCATCATCTACATACTTGACTCTGCTTTTACACTTAGCTGCCATTCCATTTACTAGAATGCAGAAGAGCAGGGGGGCGAGTTTGGTACCCTCAGTCGTCGAGCGACCAGGAAGAGCAAATTGCTTAGTTTTTTGGCTATCGGAGAGGTCAGTGAGATGGGTCTCAAGTCATTTTCTACAGACTTTGGAGGTCGAAGCTTTGGAACTGGGACCACAATGGCTTGCTTCAGTTGCGTTGGAAAGTAACCCTGTTCCAGTGACGAGTTGTAGATATCCGCCAGAGATGGGGAAAGCTCAAAGGCGAATTCTTTCTATACAACAATAGGGATTCCATCCGGACCAGGTGATTTCTTTGTCTTCAAAGAACAAAGAGTCTTATAGACTTTGTAGTCCGAGACGTCGAGATGCTGCGGCACAGGACCCAACATGAGGTTGTTAAGGTAGAGGTTGTTAAGATCTAAACACCTAATCATTAGTGTCGTATTCTTCGGGGTCATCCAACGAGCAAATTAAGCAAAAAAAGACCTTTGAGGGACATTTCTTTTGTAACTTTTTGTTTTTATCAGCTAGAAAAATTTAATCTGTTCGGATTTCCTACCTAAAAATTGAAGTGCCCGGAAATTTTAGGGAATGGACTCTTCATTTCAGAAATTGCTAGATGAACGTTACCTTCGACGAACTAGTCACCCAACTATTTCGGCTTACCCAAAAATGCTAGGTGACCTTCTTAAGAGCCAGTAAGGGACTATTTTCCCCTAAAGCATATCACCAAATGTCTATGCTTCAGATCAAAGAACAAATACACATTCTCAATGCTAACAATACTTTTTAGACGGAAATAGACCTAGCAGTGAATTTTCGTGGTGGAGATTGCGTGACCCTATTCAATTCAATTCAATTTTATTATTCACACTTTATAAAATATTAACATTACATATAGTAAGGTAAGAATACAGTAATAAAGTAGAAGAAGAAGGAAAAAAAAGAAAATTAATGGCTTGGGTAGAAGGCTTATTTTCGGAATTTTACGGTATGTGAGACAGTCATATTACAATTGTTATCTTTGACAGTTAACTAGAATTCGCTTACATTCTTTTTTGAACTTGTGGTAGCTAAGTGTTTTTATCTTAGTAGGAATCTCTTCCCAAGTTTTGGTTATGGCAAACTTAAATGTGTGTTTGCCGTAATTTGACCTTACACGTGGTACGTGAAAGTTAAGATTTGAGGCATATCTGGTATTGTGTGAGTGAATATCAGACACTTTCACAAGGTAGTTTCGAAACACTTCGGGAATATTGGCTTCATTTTGTGAGATTTTGTGAGCTAGCAAGGAGATTTTGAGTTTAAAAATGCTATCTATGTTTAAAAGTATATCGGCTGCGGAGTATGCGTTTAATTGGCGCATGTTTACTGGCTATGCCTTTAAGTTTTTCGACAAAGCTGCTGGCTTTAGTGTGGATGTCGGTTGGATCATTTAGGATGCTACTCCAGTCAACTGACTTTATGTCATTCAGATAGGTCTTAGAGTCAAAATTTGAATAGTCCCTGAAGAATCTCTTTGGTTTTAGCCTTGTTATCTGTCTTCTAATGAAACAGAAAGTGGGCAGGTGGTCTGATATGTCAGTGGTTACAATACCAGGTATGATTTGGTCAGTAGAGGCATTTGTGTAAATATGATCAATAAGAGTTGCGGTATGGTTTGTGATCCTAGTAGGTTTTGTTATGACTGGGAGGAGGTTACTACTGTATAGCATATCAAGGTAGTCTTCAGTTTGGAATGTGTACCTACTTTCAGAAAGTCAATATTCATTTCCCCTAGGATAAAGACCTGATGCGTGGATTGCAGGGTCGTTACGAGGTATACGGGATCAGGGATCACAGCGCCGGGATCTGGGATCACAAGCCGTGGGATCGGGATCAGTAGTACTGAAAGGGGATCAGGGATCCGGTTCCTCCTTCGGATATAACAACCAAGACCACAAAATTCTGAAATGGGCCTTAATTGGAGGGACCTGCCAACGTTTTAAAATTCAGTTGTATTTTTGCTGTAACATTTGGATCCGGTACTAAACTGTATGCAATCCGATCTAGCCGAATCGTCCAAAATCCACGAAACAAAATCCCCATAAATCTAGAAATAAATGGATGCAAAATTGTGAAGCCAGATTCCTAGCATTGTAAGCCGTTGTTGTTCATACGCCTGTTGTGATAGGGATTGTCTTATCATCCTGGTCGTGTAGAATTCTGTAGCTACTTTGATCGCTGGTCAAGCCAATCAGATCTCATTTAGATCTTATTTTGCTGGAACAGGAGCTACTGAAGAGCGTAGCGTCCATATACGCACATGCGCCCGTACAGCTAAGATAAGAAAATAAAAATTATTTCCTGAAAAAGCATTTTTATCACTTGAAAATCGAGATGACTGACACCTCGTTGGCACTATATTGGTGACTTTCTGTTAGTGATTACTCGGTTATCCTTTTATTATTCCACAAAAACAATAACTAACTAACTGCATTTTCCTGCGTAGCAAATCAATGCAAAAAATGCTGGAAATAGCATTTCTGAGACCCTAAATTAGAAAATTTTCTGGAAGAGCATGCCCCCTGACTCCCCTAGGCTGGGCCTCCTTCGGTGCTGCAAATCTTCATCACCGCATCGTACACCTTCAAGATCTCAGGCTACGCCCCAGCAGCTACGCACACTAGTATGAGTAGTCTAGAGGGATAGTTAGATGGTGATGCACGACTAGAGGCGTCTAGTTTCAGCTGTAGTTTTTATATGATATTCAGCTAATTCAACCCATATTGAAACCGGGGATCAAAAAATTTTCATGGGGTCAAGGATCAAGATTGATCCCCGGGATTGGTTTAAAGGACTGACGAGGTTTTCTAGTTGAGATATAAAATTAGCAAGATTAGACGAGGGGTGCCTGTATATACATCCCACAATTATGCTAGGTTTGTGTTCCTGTAAGATTTCAATCCAGCAGAATTCTGCCTGAACAGAATTAAAGCTTAAATCTGACCTATGAATTTCTTTTAGGGAGGATGAGATGTAAATACCAACACCACTAGCAGTAAAAATTTGTAAAATTTGTAGTTAGGAAGATCTATGTTTGCTGATGAGTTACAATTAATTCTAGTTTCAGTTACAGCAATTACATCAGGTATATTATCAAAGCAATATAAAAGGTCGTGTAAGAGCTCGAAGCTGAAGTCACTGACATTACCAGAACCAAGTACAAATCTAAATTCCCTTTCATCTGAAGAAGCCATTATTAACCCTTTAAGCCCCAATATACATGCACAAATTCTCCAAACTGATCTCTATACATTTCCTTAAAGAATGAGTTGAGAGAATTTGATAAAAGATCAAAGCATTTTCTCATAGGTGATCATTTTATTAATTCTCATAACCTAATCTCTTGACATTGTATGGATATTGTTAGGAGAAAATTGATGTTGGTCACTATTGGGACTTAAAGGGTTAAATAACTACTAAGTTACTACAAGGAGTATTAACCAGATATTAAAGTTTCATTGTGATGGAGCAATGAAGTCTTCAAATTCTTCAAATGTTGTAAATGTAAATGTCTGTGAGGTTTCATGTTTACGTAGATAGATCTTACCATTATTGTCCATAGGAATTTGTACTTGTTTTCCTTCTTGAATTTGTTTACCCTTCCAAAGAGTTCACTGCGATACTGGGTTAGGGATTCATTGATGTACATAGCAGAGTCTTGGTGGATGCTTTTCCCCATCTCACAAGCCACGGATGGAAGCATGCTTGCTTTTTTCCCGCCGAGGTGCTTGCGTGACTTGTAGAATTCGTCACACTTTTCTCTTCAGACGAATTTGACAATAAATCTGTCCTTCTTTATACCCTTAGTATCGGGCAATCGGTGGGCTATCGAAATGTCCTGCTTGTCGATTGTTACACCGATGAGCTGGCCCATTTCTTGTGTTAGATTTGCTGAAGAATCTAAGGGTAATATTGGGATACCTGAAATTTCAAGGCAGTCTCTCCTCGAGCACTGTTGGATGGAGTCTATGGCTGCTTCGGCATCGTAGACTTAGCCATTAAGATGGTTGATTTTGTTGTCTTGGGCTTCGCGCCAGTTGTTAAGATCGTTTATCTGTTTCTTGGTCGACTGCATTGACGTTAAAACGGAATCGTATTTATCGCTGATCAATTGCTGTGACGATTGCCCCCTGAATCGGGTCGAGACGCTTTGACAGATTAGTTATCAGGCAGTTTACCTTTTCAATTTCAGTCTTCAGTTCGTTTCTGATTTCTTTCTTGATGTTGGGAAGGAATTCTGTCTTCCAGATCTTTCGAATGTTGTCAACAGTGAACGGTTCTGAGGAGGAAGCCATTTTTGTTGCGGAGCTCAGAACTCGCGTTCGGTCGCTATGACACCCAGGCTCTTCTTTGGCCTAAGGCCACTTGAAAATATATCGCGAAACGATTTATTTGCTCTTTTCACTGACTTCCGTTCGAAACAGAAACGCGCCTTATCACCGATAATAAAGAAACGTTTCTCGAAAAAAAGCTAGGTATCCGATCTGGAAATAATATTGAATGATGGAAAATACTCACCCTCTATAGTGCAGTCGACAACTGTTTTCTTCTTTTCTTCTTTTGGGCCGTTTGAATCCCCCGCAAGCTACAGTAGTTGTGGCTGCTACCGCAGACACCGCACGCTATTTATATTGTCGGTGGTTCTCGGAATAGCATTTTCCTCACTTGATAAAAATAGATCGTGACGTCTTATCACAAAGCACCATGGGATTTTATAACAAGGGTAAATCGCGCGCTCTGATTGGTCAGTTAGCCACTACCATTTGCCCGTGGGTGCACGCCAAGAAACTGAGCTAGCGCGGTGGGTTAAAGTTAGGCAAATTCAACAAATCTCCTCTCCTGACGGTAAAATACACCGATGAAATGCACAGATGAAAAGTGGAAGTTGAAGAAAATACTAAGCTGTCGTTTTGAAGGACAAAAGATCAAGCGACAAATTTGCCCTGGATGAATTAATCACTGTTTTCCTCGCGGCTAGGATCGGCTGAAGGAAAATCGAGCGAGCGAAGATTTAAGGTACATTTTGTGTGTTTTTTAAAGAAGAGAAAGTCTGTTTGAAATGTAAATTTATCAATTAGCATTGTGTTATTGACTTTTTGGTCAAGCTGATNAGAAGAGAAAGTCTGTTTGAAATGTAAATTTATCAATTAGCATTGTGTTATTGACTTTTTGGTCAAGCTGATGCTAAATTCAAGCAAATATTTTAGGAAACACGCTCAAATTCGAGACAGCTTTGTTGTGAAGTTTTCATCGCATCGATTAAAAATTTTAGTTGAGATTAAACGGGCACATTACGCTGGAATAAGCGGATTTCATTTGAGTACACAAACATTTGGGTTTTCAAATAAATTTTTCAGAAAGTAACTTCTGTGTGTATTATTTTGTTCCCCAGTGTTCATTCATAACAGTCGTTCAGAGAACGGTTGAGAAACAACAGCCTCACCGCCGGCTGTGTGTCGGCGAATTTCAGTTTCAACTTTCTTTGTTTTTTTCATTCAGGTGTCGCTGAGTGGATTTTCCCTAGCGATATCGATACGGGAGTTGTTTACTCACGCAAGCCAACATATCTAGACTCGGCTTGTGTGTAGTGCGGATTGCACTGAAGCTAAGACGCTTTCGCATTTATTGGCTTTTAATCCGGTACGGGTTGCACCACATATCTCACAACTATCTCACGAGTATCTCACAAGCTCTCGCAAGTTCTCACAAGCTAGTATTTATCGGCTTGAACTATCAGTGTGAGTTACACCTCAAACTGAAAGAGTTATTGTACTCTAAAAAATACTTGCATTGAATAAGAGTCTTGCATTCTCAAAGGATAGTATTTCGTATTCTTACTGTTGTCTGCTACTAGCCGCCAGCATGGGAACAACAATCGAACAATACCGGTCAAGGATCAGCTGTCACAACAATTTTGTCAAAGCCAAGGATGCGTTTTCCCTTGTGCGAGGGCGATTTCGGAATATGATACTTACGATGTTTTACTTAAATGTGTTTTACTTGCCAACATTAAAACAGGTTGTTGGACGTTACAAGTCGTGGAATGAGGTGACGTTTTGGTTTACACCAATGAGGTGCTATAATGTTTACATCCCATTGCTTATAAGGCAAGCAAATAATGTGGAAAATCCAGGTCCTACAATATTTGATATCATTGATCCAACAGCCACTGTGTGACAAAGATTAAAAGCATTATTTGCATAATTATCAAATACTAATTTTCTTTGAATTGGAGGTAGCTGGCATAAATCACCAGGCCCTGGTTGTTCAAACGTTGATTTATGCCAGCTATCCAACGTTTGAACAACCGGGGCCAGGAGCAATAACACTTATGTACCAGCAAAAGCTGTGAGTTGTTAATATCAAATATCTCTTTTAGTCGTTGATGAATATGGAGGAGAGTAGTGTTACCAACCATTGAGATCTCATCTATTATTATTGCCTTCAGCTCACACAGTGATAATCTCATTTGTGTTCTTTGCTGGTCAGACATTGCAGGTAGGACATCACCTGTACTTTTAGGTATTGCTAATGCTGTGTTAATGATTGTACCATCAATGTCTACTGCCGCTACTCCAGTAGATGCTGCTAGTAAGACTGTTGGTTTCCCAGGATTCATTGGAGCATGTGTACAGGTTTTTACTACAGTGTGGTAGATTGTTTTAATCGAATGATTTTTCCCAGCACCACCACCTCCAGTTATAAACAATAAACTGGTTCAACATATGTGACTTCAGGCTGTTGAGGTTTATCATTTTATTTCTAGTCCATCAAAGTACCCTGTTGTAAGCTTTTCGTTGCATTTTATTTAATGATCTAACTGATTGATGTAATTGATCATCAGATATTTCTGTTAGCTGATTATACATTATTATTGCTGATGGACCGGGATTTTCAGTAGTTTGGGAATTTGGAGCAAGCTCTGAGGGTCCTTGTTCATTGAACACCTCATCTTCTAATGATTCATCTTGGAATTCTAGTTGTATTTCAGCATTCTCTTGATCATTTATGGGGTCATATGAATGTATGACAGTGCCGTGCTTGTTTCTTAGCCTTTCTAGAGCTTCTGTTACTAGTAAATAGCTGATAGAGAAGATGTAGTGTGCAGCAAAAGTTTCTAAACTGTGCAAATGGTAATAAGAGAAAGATTAGCGACGAGTGATCGCTGTAAAATTCTGAACAGGTCCTGAAATTTGAAGCATACTGAAGGAACCCATTTCAGTGCTGCACTGTTATGGCAAATTTTCAACCAATCACGCATGGTAAAAGTGACACCGCACTTACCAAATTCTATAAGGGCCCAATGGATTTAAACTAAGCATAAGACCCCAAGTACTTCCTCTTTCGCTTTCGGATCGAACGATTAAGACAACGGGCCAATACTAGGGGGATAAACACCTTATTAAGTTACATGGGAAATTTCCCTTAAAATGTTCTTTTGCTTTCGGTCCACTGAAAACAGTTTATGCTTGTCGATAAAGTATTTTAAAAAAATTAAATATCAGGGATTTGAAAAGGACACATTTGACTGAGGCCATTTTGATAAAGCAGTAGTGTTAAGATCTAAACACCTAATCATTAGTGTCGTATTCTTCGGGGTCATCCAACGAGCAAATTAAGCAAAAAAAACCTTTGAGGGACATTTCTAGGCCCCTTGTAATGTTATAAGACTGTTTAAAGAGATGCTTTTATCAGCTAGAAAAATTTAATCTGTTGGGATTTCCTACCTAAAAGTTGAAGTGCCCGGAAATTTTAGGGAATGAACTCTTCATTTCAGAAATTGCTAGATGGACGTTACCTTCGAAGAACTAGTCAGCTATTTTCGCTTACCCAAAAATGCTAGGTGACCTTCTTAAGAGCCAGTAAGGGACTATTTTCCCCTGAAGCATATCACCAAATGTCTATGCTTCAGATTAAAGAACAAATACACATTCTCAATGCTAACAATAATTTTTACAAGGAAATAGACCTATTGTAGCAGTGAATTTTCGTGGTAGAGATTGCGTGACCCTAAGGCCACTTGAAAATATATCGCGTATCAAACCATTTATTTACTCTTTTCACTGACTTCCGTTCGAAACGGAAACGCACCTTATCACCGATAATAAAGAAACGTTTCTAGAAAAAAGCTAGGTATCCGATCTGGAAATAATATTGAATTATAGAAAATACTCACCCTCTATAGTGCAGTCGACAACTGCAGTTCTTCTTTTCTTCTTTTAGGCCGTTTGAATCCCCCGCAAGCTAAAGTAGTTTCAGTTATGGCTGCTACACCACGCTATTTATATTGTCGGTGGTTCTCGGAATAGCATTTTCCTCACTTGATAAAACTAGTTATAGTTGTCACTAAATCTGCCCCCGACCTTTTAAAACCCGAATGAAGACTCCTTGTGATTGTCCATGTATTTGCCATGAACCTTTGAAATGCAGTTTTCGTATTAGAGTTTCTGAGTGTAATTCTTTTGTTCTCTTTTGTGTTTTCTCAATTATTACACTTTGTTTCCTGGGTTAATGAAAATCCTCATACATGACATGCCTAGGATGGAC